AAAAAAAAAAAAAAAAAAAAAAAAAATGGGTGGGGTGGGTGGGGAGTGGAAATGAAAAAGAAGTAGGTGCATCTTAAAGGGGTATTATACAAAGGACACTTGCAGTGATAGAGAACTGTTCTGCATTCTGATTGGAGCAATGTCAATATCCTGGTTACAATATTGGAACATATTTTGCAAAACATTACTAATGGGGGAAAATAGATAAAGGAAGATGGAACTCCTCTGTATTACTTACAACTAACTACATGTGAAACTACAATTATTTTAAAATGAAAAATTCAAATTAAGGAAGATAGAGACAGAGAAGAAGCTCTTCACTATTCTCCAAAGGTTTCTAAGACATACTGTTACGTTAAAAAAAGTAGGATATAGACAGATGTGTTGGTAGTCCAAGGTACTTGGGAGGTACTTGAGGCAGGATCAAAAGTTTGAGGCCAGCCTCAGCAACTTAGCAAGACTCTATCTCAAAATAAAAAGTAATAAGGGGGAAAAAAAAAATAAGAGGGCTGTGGTTGTGGCTCAGTGATGGAGCACTTGCCTAGCATGTGTAAGGCACTGGGTTCGATCTTTAGCACCACATAAAAATAAACAAACAGGGGCTGGGGTTGTGGCTCAATGGTAGAGTGCTTGAAACGTGTAAATCTTGAAACATGGATAAAATATTACTTAATTCAAAACAAAATGTAATTGAGATTCTTGCCTCATATTATATACTAAGTTGCCTAGGCTGTCCTTGAACTTGCAATTCTGCCTCAGCCTCCCATGTAGCTGGGATTACAGGAATGTACCACTGGGCCTGGATGAACACAGTCAAAATTTTAAAACTGATTACTGAAAAATTTAAAGCTCTGGAGAAATATTTCTTAAATAATAAGCTAACGCAGCAAAAAAAAAATCAACAAAAAATACAAAAGAAAATTCTAGTAAATATATGGGGAAAAAATCAAGTCATTAGTAACTAAAGAAATGCCAATTAAAACAATAAAACAGTGAAAATTATATTTTCACCTCTCCATCATTATATTTAATAGAAAAAAATTTTGAAGTGTTTTTACTATCTAACACTGGCAAGGATATGATTAAACTGGCACTGCCTTACTGCTAATAATTATAGCTGTTCTATAAAATAATTTGGCAATGATAATCAAGATTCACAAGGTTCACAATTTTTTTTTTTTTTAAGAGAGAGTGAGAGGAGAGAGAGAGAGAGAGAGAATTTTTATTGTTTTATTGTTTAGTTCTTGGCGGACACAACATCTTTGTTGTATGTGGTGCTGAGGATCGAACCCAGGCCGCACGCATGTCAGGCGAGCGCGCTACCGCTTGAGCCACATCCCCAGCCCAAGGTTCACAAATTTTTGCCATTAGACAGTTACAGGATACAAAGAAATGAAACACTAATTCTAGTTTTAAGGTTCTAGTTTATCCTTGTGGGTGTCAGGACATTTGTCCTAAGGCAAACAAAATGCAAGCACTGCTTCATTTTGCTTCCACAAATCAGAAGCAATTGGGTAAAAGAAATGGCAATTAAGTGTCTATTTATGGTTCTGAACTAAACTAGGTGTAACTTCGTAATCCAATACCTTATTTTTTCCAGGATAGAGGGTTTGATAGGGGAGAAAACTGATGTGAATTGTTCTGAAATAATTTTTGATACCCAAATGAAAACAAAAGTACCATATTTTTCCCGAGTCTAATATTCAACTCATTTTATTATACAAACAATAAAATATGATAGTTATCACATACCTGAGCTGATGAACTGTCAATATTCTCTGACTGAGTATTAGTAGCAACACTTGGAGATGGAAGCAGATCAGAGGACTCTTGATTTTTTTTCTCTCCTTCACTAAGTGGATTAGATTGTTTCAAATTCCTCCTCGATACAGGTATAAGAGGTTTTACGCGCTTCTTACTATGGACGTGAGTAGGTTCATCAGATTCCAAATTATTCTTTGAGCATATTAAAGATAAAAATCCCAGGGGTCTTCTGCCACGCCTAGAAATGCAAATGTAAAGATATTCATGAATATCCAAGGAAGACATATTCTTAATGCTATCTTCTTTCTACTAATGCTAAAATGGCACACTCACTATGTACTGGTGTCACTAAGCCATAACATACATCTCTGACAGAATCAAGGCTTACTCTAGAGTAGAGCTTCCCATGTTGAAAAGTTCATATCAATCACCTGGCAACATGATTAAAGTGAAAATTCTGACTGAAATGCTAGTGTGACCTGAGTCCTGCATTTCTAACAAGTTCTCAAATATGACCATACTTAAGAGAAGCAAGGCTCTGAAACAGGAGTCAGCAAATGATGGTCCAATCATACGATTGTGTAAGTAAGTTTTACTGAAACAGCCATGTGCATTTGTCTATGGTTGCTTTTGGGGTTTTTAAAAATATATTTAGTTGTAGATGGATACAGTAACTTTAGTTAGTTTGTTTACTTATTTTTATGTGGGTCTGGGGGTCAAATCCAGTGCCTTATATGTGCTAGGCAAATGCTTTGCCACTGAGCTACAGCCCCATATGGTTGCTTTTGTATTGTAACTGCAAAGCTAAGCTGAGTAGCTTCAAGAGAAACTATATCGTCCACAAAGCCTAGAATATGTACTATATGACCTTTTATATAACAAGCTTACTGCCCTCTGTTCTAGAACACTGCTTCTCTCAGCTTGTTTTAATCCAAACCCCCCATTCTATTTTCAGTACTACTCTAAAGACAGAAAATATATCACTGAGCTTTACTTTCTATATAGTTTAGATAATACAGACAACAGATTTATTAAATAAGCATTTTAAAGACATGTCCTTTCCCCTTAGTGGAGGCTAGTATATGTTGCCTCCCTTCCACTCACCATGTAAATTTTTTCTCCTTTTTTTTTCTTTTTGGCAACAGTGAGGATTAAATGCAGGTCCTCATGGATGCTAGGAAGCACTCTACCACTGAGCTACATCCCCAGCCCCATATAAATGTTTTGAATGCTGCTGACAAACCAATAATTGTTGATAACCTAGAAGACTCACTTTTAGAGTATGAGAAAAAACAATGTGGGAGAAGTTGGCTTTGGGCTTAAATTTAACTCTTAGTCTTATAGAAAGCAAGCCATGGTTTAATATGAGATAAGGAAAATGAGATAAGGAAAGAAAATGAAAGATTATTTGGGAATTCAATAAAACAACTTTCAGCAATACCTCTGTACCAATTCTATGTCTCTTATCATCAATGTGTGCATTAGCAACTACATATGGCAGAATGCATAATGACCTAAACAATAACCACAATCTGGGGAAAAATGTGTGCCATATATCTAAAAAAAGTCAAAGATGCTCTTCTTTATATTACTGATAGAGAACATGTTTTTAAAACATCAACTTTTGTATTGAATTTCTTCTCTATATTCGTGTTATAGCTATAGGTTTTATTTTTTCAGAGGGGTAACGGAATATTTATTAAAGATTTGCACATGATACCTGGACAGTGGAGTTTTTGAAGGTGCCACTCTGCTACCCATTTGTTCAGATGTAGAAGCAGAATCTGTTCCTTTTTCTTTATCAGATACAACCATCTCATCCTGAGGCAACTGAGGCATATTCTTTTCTATACACATATCTCTTATTCTACCAACAGACCTAGACCCTATATTCTGAGAAGTTGTTTCAAGTTTCTCTTTTTGAGGTTCTGGAGTTGCTTGTGTGCATCCTGAGGTAGGGAAAATACCTCGTTCCTTGTAAGAGTCCCCTTCAAAAAAAGAGAACAAATGGTAAGTATGTATATTAAAATTAATACTTATATTTTAACTGCAATATTTGAGGGGAAAAACCATGGTATCTTATAACAAACCTCATCTAATAAGAGAAGCCTAAATTATAATTAGTGGAGTTACTTGGAAAATTAAAAATAACTGAGTAAAAGTTAATAGTAACACCTTTGACAAAAATAGTGGTATTACTATAAAAAGTTTTTTTCCAAAAATATATCTTGAACTATCAAAATGAAAGGACGATCACTTTAAAATAATCTAAGACTCTTTAAACTATAGAAGCTAAACCAACCCAAAATATAGGTGGTCACTTGGGTATCTGTAGTCTAGTGGAAGAGAAAACCCCACAGGTTCTTAAACACTCAGGTTAGCTTTAAAGAGTTTTATTTTCCTAAATAGTAGATAAAACCCAAAGCAGCAGTTAGTTAGAAATGAGAAATTTCTTGTTAAACAACAACAACAACAAAAAAATTTCCCTTTAGATAGCTATTTCTAAGGCTCAGTTCCCAGTGAGAATGTCCTAGGCTCCCTGAAAAAAGAATGAAGTTGGTAAGTATACCTACCTTTAAAAAACAAAACAAAACATGATTAAGGATGGCATATGAGGGGCTGGGATTGTGGCTCAGAGGGAGAGCGTTCACCTCGCATTCGTGAGGCACTGGGTTCGATCCTCAGCACCACATAAAAAATAAAATATTTTGTCCACCTATAACTTAAAAAAAATTTTAAAAAAGGATGGCATATCACTATATCATTAACACTTAGAGTGTTGTGATCTGTTAACACTTTTATCAGAGAGGAGGAAATAAATGAAACAGATATTAGAACATTTCTAAAAGCTGGAAACCGTAACCAGATTACAGTTTCACAATTAAAGTTGGACAATTAAGATTAAGCCAATGACATTGTTATTATCTTGTAAGTGTCTTTAAAAAGCCAGAACCAGGTCTTGGGGAGCAGCCCAGTAGTAGAGCACTTAGTTAGCATGAATGAGGCCTTGGTTTTGATCCCCAGCACCATACAACAAACAAAAACCTCAAATCATTAAACCCTTCTTTTCGAATTCTAACTCTACAAAGATGCCACCATTAATAATTTTTTTTAATTCTTGAGAATTAAATTTTTAAAAAAGTTCTTAACCATTACCATAGTTCAGCAATGGCTTAACAGGCCTAAGAAATGGTAAGTCTCAAAGAAATGAGGAATAATAAAAATTCAGGGCAAAGTTAAGGAGTTATAAGTACAACTGCATTCATACTACTCAGTTAATTCCTAAAATGTAGTTACTGAGCTTTTACAAAAAATCTTTGTACAGTCATTATGTTTTTCCATTAATTACAAGATGAAAGGAGCTTATTTTGGCTATCAATATGCCAAATCCAATGTCTTAATAGGAGAGTAAATACTGACAATAAAATTAAGGTTCTTTAAAAAAAAAAAGTGAGCAAGAGTGCTTCAAGCTCAAAATGTGTGGGAAATAATCAGGGGTACTTAGCAATGTGATCATGTTAAAATTTATTTCACTCACCTGTTTCCTCAAAAACATTTAATTTCTCTGAACACACCTGTTTTAAGAAAATTTACAAAAAAATTTAGAAATCTATTTGTCAAATAAAATTCCCTCCCTCCATTCCCTTCTTTCCTTTCTATAAAGAAGGCATGTATCATACTCCCAGGAAGCTCTAGAGTCACTAATGTTTTATAGAAATTCTAGCAAACATTTCTGGAAATGATTTGGCAACTGTTAAACTGGTACACAGGAGAGGGAAAGCTGCCAAATGCCTCTTATCTCAAGCATAATATCGACACCAACCAAACATCACACTTAAATGTCAAGTGCAATAGTATAATTGTGTGTGTATGGTGCTGGAGGTTGAACCCAGGACCTAGTACATGCTAAGCAGGTGTTCCACCACTGAGCTACACTCCAACCCCTCAAATCAAATACTACAAGTAGCACATCAATAGACTAGCAAATATATAATAATCAAATAGTTTGTTTCAGGAATGTAAAGATGATTCAACATTAGAAATCTAATATAATTCAATAGACCTAAGGAGAAAAAGCATTTATTAACAGTATTATTCATTCCTGAAAAAAGTAAATAAAATGTACTAGATATGTTTTCTTTTTTTTCCTTTCTTTTTCTTTCTTTTTTTTAAATATAGATGGGGTCTCGCTATCTTGCCCAGGCTAGTCCTAACTTGTGGGCTCAAATGATGCTTTTGCCTCAACCTTCCTTCCTTCTTTTCTCTCTGGTACTGGGGATTGAACCCACAGCGCTTACCCATTAAGCCACATTCCTAGCTCCTTATTTTATTTTGAGACAGAGTCCTGCTAAATTGCTGGCTTTGAACTTGAGATTCTCCTGTCTCAGACTCCTGAGCTGCTAGGATTACAAGCATGCACTACCACACCTAGTAACATTTTCTTAATGCCATAAAATATAACCATTGAAAGGTGAAAGCTGGCATCCCACTTAATAGGAAGTATCCTCATTAATCAGGAATAAGAAAAAGATGTCAACTTTGGGATTACTTTTTTAACATTATTTTTTACTTATATCAGTCATTACAAATAAAACAGAAAAAAATTAGGAGTATAAAAAGTAGAATTGAAATTCCAATTGCAGATGAGATGCCTGTTAACCTACAAAACCTCAAATCAACTGAATGCACATGAGGAAATTCAGAAAGTTCTCTTAATTAGAGAGAAAAGAGAGTGATTGAGCTCAATGATAAAAACAATATGATTAAATTCTCAAGGATAACATAATAAGAAATGTATGAATTCTATAAGAGCTTAAAATAAAATTGAAAAGACACATAGCAACACTTAAATGGAAAGACATTATGTTTTTGGATTGGAAGATTCATTATTATAATTATATTGTCAATTTTCCTTATGTTCATCTGATGAATTAATTAATAATTAACTCTAATTAAGAGAACTTTCTGAATAAAATTAATGCAAATTTTAAAGACTTCAACAAACTAATACTAAAATCCATATAAATTTAAGAACATAAGCAGTAATGAGAAGTCTGAAAAAAGAATAAAAGTATATGTTATTAGAGGAGAGACTATTCCTATAAAATATTAAAGCACAAAGTTACAATACTTAAAATAGTATGAGATTGTCCCTGGAAGATCAGGTAAATCCACATTAAAAAAGTCCAGGAAGATATACAAATATATATGGAGATGATAACTGAAAAAAGTATAGTTTTCATCAATGGAAAAAAGATGAATTATTCAACATATGGTGTTAGAACAATTGAAAAGGCATCATGGAAAACTTAAGTTGGCCCTATTCTTTACACCAAAATAAACTCTACATAAGTCAGTAATATTAGCTAGAAATTTTAAGACTCAAAGGATTTCCCAGAAGCCACACATGAAAAGATTGATGTTTGCATGTCTTTTTTTGGGGGGGGGCTGGGGGGGGGCAGTGATTGAACCTAGGGGTGCTTAACCACTGAGCCACATCCCCAGCTCTTTTGTATTCTTAATTTTTTAAAAATAACTTTATTTTATTTATAATTTTTATGTGGTATTGAGGATCAAACCCAGTGCCTCACACATATTAGGTAAGTGCTCTACCACTGAGCTGCATCTCCAGCTGTTTTATATTTTATTAGAGAGAGGGTCTCACTGAGTTGCTTAGCGTCTCACTTTCGTTGAGGCTGGCTTTGAACTCACAATCCTCCTGCCTCAGCCTCCCGAGCTACTGGGATTACATCTGTGCACCATCACATCTAGCTGCATGTCTTTTTGAATGCACTCTATGTATTATTCTAGGATGTCTTTTTGAATGCACTCTATGTATTATTCTAGAATTCTGCATAAGAAATTCTTTTAATTGTTAAAGTACTGAAAACAAAAGTTAGAAAACAAAAATCACAAGTAAGCCAATAGACTATTTCTTACATATTCATAAATGTACAGTTATCATATTTTAGACCTATTATAATCTGGTAATGTTATTTCATAATGTTTTGTATTTGATAATATACTATGATCTTTTTCATGTCACTAACTATACTTTTAAAATCAAAACAGTCTCTGCAGGGAATGCTAATAAATTGCTGAAACTGGTGACTAGTACATGGGAATACATTATATTATACTGTCTATTTCTGTCTAGGTTTGAAAACTCTTCCATCAAAAAGTTAACCTTGAGCCAAGTGTGATGGCACATGCCTATAATCCCAGCAGCTCGGGAGGCTGAGGCAGAAAGATCCTGAGTTCAAAGCCAGCTTCAACAAAAGCGAGGAGTTAAGCAACTCAGTAAGACCCTGTCTCTAAATAAAATACAAAATAAGGCTGGGGTTGCAATTCAGTGGTTGAGTATCCCTGAGTGCAACCCCTGGTACAATAAAACAAAAAACAGTTAACCTTGGCAGGACTGGGTTGTGACTCAGTGGTAGAGCACTTGCCTAGCACTTGAGAGGCACTGGGTTTGGGTTTGATCCTTAGCACCACATAAAAATAAACAAATAAAATGCAGATGGCATGCTGTCCATATACAACTAAAACAAAATCTTTTTCATTAAAAAAAAAAAGAGTTACCTTTAATACTGTAAAAAGTTAAATAAATCTGCCTAAGAACACAGAGTCAAAAGATAAATGAGGGCTGGGGTTGTAGCTCAGTGGTAGAGCGACTGCTTCACATATATGAAGCCCTGGGTTTGATCCTCAACACCACATAAAAATAAATAAATAAAAATAAAGGTATTGTGTACACCTACAACTAAAAAAAATTTAAAATAAAAGATAAGTGACAAACTGGAGGTAAAAATTTGCTGCTCATTACCATATCTATCTCACAGAATTTTTCCAGATCTCTAAGAAAATAGCAACACTCTTTTAAAAAAATGTGTAAAGAATATAAATTCATTTCATAGTCAAAGAAACATAAATGGCTCTAAATCATATAAAACGATGTTCAATCTTACTCATTACAAGAGAAACTAAAACTATTCTGTGATACAATTTTTTTTACCTATCAAAAACATGAAAGTATACTTCCTCTGTATCTCATCTAAGAACTATTGGTCTTCAGCTCTCCCTTTGAAGAAATAGAATTTCAACTGATTTGCCATAGTATAGTTACAAATTATGAATAGTATTAGAAATAAAACAAGAGGATACTAGGAAACCTACAACATGATGACTAGTGATTAAATCTACATCATGGAGTTTGACTTTCTTGAGGCACTGATAACTGAGCTAGAGCAGTCTGCAATGTTTTACAAGGTAATGTTTCATATAGAAGGGACAGCAAACAAAATGCCTTGGGACACGAAGGATTATAGCACATTTAAAGGAATTGAAAGATGGCCAATGTGGCTAGAAAGTGAGATGAAAACTAGCACAAAATCAGACTAGAGACAGAAATGGGTAAAACTATCTACAGGGGCTCAGATGCTCTGGTTTTGTTCTAAGAGCAATGGAAAACTTTACACATTATGATGATATTACTATTATTTTATACATCAGAAAATCGATCCTGAGAGGTAAAGTATCTTATTTACAGTTCTATAGCTGTTGGGTGGCAGAGCTAAGATCCAGGTCTACATAATACTTTTGGCCTTTTTTTCAGCCTACATCACAGAACTGAGAGTAGTTTTCCCGATTAGGTCAACTGATTTTTACACTGAACTAATAAAAAAGTGATAATCCCAAACAGGCCTTATCTATTATTTATGATGATAAGTGTCTGAACTAAGTTTATGTATCTATAAAAGTTTTAAGAGCCAGAAGGAAAAAATAGAAACATGTCTCTTCCACTATAGCCATCGCACTTACCTAAAGAGTCTATCTTACCTCAGAAGTATATTGTTGACAACCATCTTCTGAAGTGAGAGACATTTTTTTGGCAGGAGAAACATGGTTGCTTTCATCAAGAGTGCAATGAGATCTCTTCCTAGATATAAGATCCAAATTAGCAGGAGGCTGTTCAGAAGCATCTCTTGCAGAATTAGATAAACACATGGCATCTTGACCAACTGAAGTTAGTGGTAAACGCTTACTGCATAGAAAAAAAATGCAGAGAAAAATCAATGAATCAAAAGTTATTTAATAATGTTAAAGACTGAGCTATTCCAATTAAATTTCTAATGAAACCAAATTCCAAATAAATAAATTCAAGATCACGATCATTAAGATTCTAGTTCTGAGCTGCATTCATACTTAAAGGCTCACAACCTAATCTCCCAATATTTAATTAAATCTGAAGTACATGTGTTCATGTCTTTAAACTTTTAATCTAAAATGTCCCTTCCTAATATAAATGGCTTCAATTTCTAATGCTACTTCATAAGTTTTCCAATGGTAATCAAAATACAGCTTAACAGTTCTACATGAAAGAATTAAGAGTATCAAGAATATATGAAACTGAGATGAGCATGGCAGCAGGCACCTATGATCCAAACTACTTGGGAGGCTGGGACATGATGATCACAAATTTAAGGCAAATTTGCCTGGGAAAATTAGTGAGTCTGTGTTTCAAAAAAAGGGTAAAGGGTATTCCTACGGGTGTAGCTCAGTGACACAGCACTACTCTAATGTGTGGGGGCCCTGGGTTCAATCCCCAGGACCACAAAAAATTTAAAAATCAAAAGTATTACTTCTCTGTACTATTTTTTCCCAACTTTCTGTGAATGTGTATTCAGTTATGTGTATATAACTATATTTGTAATAGATGTCACTATAATCTAGGCTACTAAATTTTTCGGTTGTCAAAACAAAATATTAATTTTCATTTAAATGGTACCTTCAACCTTCATCAACCACATTACTTTTTTTTTTTTTTCTTTCTCTAAGTTACCACATAATTTAAGATCTACACAAATTACTGGCAGGGACAAATTCATTCAATTAATACTATCAGATTCATAAAGCATCTTTCCCCCTAGAGGAAAGAGTTAACTCATTTCTTACCTCATATCGCCTATTTCTTCAGTATTAATGGATTTGACCAATATGGGTGCTGGTAGTAAAGGGTTTGGCATTAACTGAGCAGCATCCGTAAATTCTTCTGTAGCATTGGTTGGGATTTCTACCAGAGTTAAAATGAATGCTTGTTCATCCTCTCCATCTTGTACATCAGCAAACAGATTCACTATCGAAGTTGAAATGTTATTAATGAAAATCTAAACCATGAAATAATAAAAAAATCACTTATTTCATCTCTAAAAAGAGAGCCTCATGTCAACTTGTCATCAAGACTAAAAAACTCGGGGCTGGGGATGTGGCTCAAGCGGTAGCGCGTTCGTCTGGCATGCGTGCGACCCGGGTTCGATCCCCAGCACCACATACCAACAAAGATGTTATGTCCGCCGAGAACTAAAAAATAAAATATTAAAATTTCTCTCTCTCTCTCTCTCTCTCTCTCCCCCCTCTCTCACTCTCTCTTTAAAAAAAAAAAAAAAAAGACTAAAAAACTAAATTATACCCCCCAAGCATCACTACAAAAAATTGTCATGAATAGTACCAAACTATTGGGTAACAGGTTGCTGGATCTTTCTGGATAAATTACTTACTAACCAAAAGAATAATTTCACAAAGGGCACAGCCGGAAGAATTCATAATTCTGAATAACAAAAGTGACATACAAAATAGTTTATTTGTTGCCTAACTATAAACACTATAAACAAAAAAGAATTTGTGTTTTCCATAGTTAAATTTAAAAATCATATTAATTAATACTATGATACCTCACTGAAGCAGATTATTATACCTGTTAGGTCTTCAGAATTGATTACACTCTCTTGTTGGACTTCTGGAATACTGGTTGGTATACACTGCCATAAAAAAATAAAAGGAAAGAGTTAGGTTTTAAAAAGTTTCCCTGACAATGTGATACATAGTGAAGAGATAACTTCAAAATGCAATGACTTATCTTAAACATATACAATTTTTCCAGTTGAGACAATTTTTGAAGTGACATAATAGGGAGACTCAAATCCCTCAACCTCTTACTTCTCTGTAAGAGAATATCCTTGCTTTTATTAATAGATAGAAGATACAAACACACTATTTAGGGGTGACAGCTTGTGTTTGCAACTTACATGCTGCTTTTTTTGTTTTTTAAAGTACTAGGGCTTGAACCCAGGAGCCTGGTGCATGCTAGACCAAGTGCTCTACCACTGAGCTATATCCTTAGACCTTTTTATTTTTTATTTTGAAAGTAAATCTTACTAAGTTGCTGAGTGTCGTGCTAAACTGCTGGGGCTGCCCTTGATTTTGCGATCCTCCTGCCTCAGGCTCCCTAGTCACTCATAGGCTTGTGCCACCAACCCTGGTTCAAAAGCTTCAGTTTTTTAAAGTATTTATCTATAGAGATGGATAGCAAGACAGAGTAACAAATGAAGCCAAGTGTTAATAATTAATGAATCCAAGGGAAAAGTATGAGTTCTTTGTAAGATTCTTATAACTTTTCTTAGTTTCAAGTTATTTCAAAATAAAAGGCTACAATTTAAAAGTTGGAGGTGGGCACGAATCTCAACTATGGAAGGAGCCAAATTCCTTAGGGAGTCATCAAACTCCTTTTATGATTTGCCTGTAAGCTGCCTTCCAAACTTCTTCTCTAACCACTTTCTTCATTTATATTCACTCAGTGATTTGGGGGGTGGTTAGGGGGGACACTGGGGATTGAACTTAGGGGCATTTTACCACTGAGCTACATCCCCAGTCCTTTTATTTTTTTATTTTAAGGTAGGGTCTTGCTAAATTGCTGAGGCTGATCTCTAACTTACAATCCTGCTTCAGCCCCCCAAGATGCTAGAATTACAAAAGTGTGCCACCATACCCAGCCTCAAGTTGATTTTATGGGTTGGGGAGCATGGTGCTGTGGATTATACTCAGGGGTGCTTTACCACCATGAGTTATTTCCCTGGATCTTTATAATTTTTATTTTGACACAGATTCTTACTGAATTGCTGCGGCTGGCCTCAAACTTGTGATCCTCTTGCCTCTACCTCCCAAGTCCCTGGGATTATAGAAACATACCATGGTGCCAACCCAACTCAGTGATTTATAATCCTTGAACATGTCATACTGTTTCACATCTTATTTTTTTTACACGTGTTCTTCACCCTTTTATTGACCATTATACTCATTCTTCAAGATCAAGCATTCTCGCAATTAGGGAACTTTTAAAAGAAAATCTTATTGTCTGGGCCTCATTCCCAGAAATGAGATTGGTTTGACTGGGTGGAGGACAACTGGTACAGAGTCCTGTTCAAATCTCCAACAAAGTATCTTTCAAACCAAGCTTAATCATTCATTTAGTCAGCAGTTTCCTGAAGATTTATCTTCCAATACCTCACCGTACCTCAATCATACTTGCTCTGTTAATAAACTCCTCAGATCCAGGAGCTAAGAAACAAGAAATGAATTCTCTGTGTATGTTTATTTAATTTTTTCTTCACAACAATCCTGAGTAACAGCTCTATTACCTCTATGCTCCAGAGACTAAATACACTCTATTGAAATTCTACCACAGTAGAGTTTACGAAAGTAAAACTATAGGGAAAATGAATCAGTGACTATCTGGAGCTGGTAGGGAAGGAGAAGGGTGACTATAAAAGACAAGTGGGGAATAAGGATGATGGAACTGTTCACATACTGGTTACATGAGAACTTCTAAAACTAAAAAGGGTAAAGTTTATTACATGCAAATTATACTTCAATTTTTCAAATGGGAAAAACCCCTCCTACCCCTTCTTATAATCTGTTCTTTTACCTCTGGCACATGATGTTTGAGCACACTGTCTCCTTCTGTGTTCTTTCTCAGGGGCTCTTCAAAAGAACTCTCACCAAGATCCCTAGCCGAATCAAGGGTATGGGGTCCTTGCTCAGAGGAAACAACTGGAGTAACTGACACTATCTCAACCTCTTGAGATCTCTCCTCTTGATCTTCATTTCTGAAAGAGAGTTGTAGTATATGTTACCTGAAATCAGGCAAACCATCATGGGATTATTTTTAGAGATTGGTGTAATTAGATCATCCAATTTAATGATTTTCAAGATTTTAAAATATATTTGATGCAACAGAACTCCTCAAGCAAATTCTTACAGTTATAGCCTTTGGTTACAGCTGAAAGAGAATATGAACTGAATTTCAGACTCTATTTCCTCTTTTACCTTTCTGTTAAGTTTGCTTCTTGTGAAATACTGGTCCCTTTGATATCATGTACAGATGCCAATTTGTTCTGCTCCTTACTCTCTGTTGTTGTAACTTGCCCAAAGCTTTTCTCTCCCAATTCTGTTGCTTTGGAAGCATTTTTCTCAGTTTCTTAAATAAAAAAACACACGTAAGATACAGTTCAAAACAGAACAGCTAAAAATCTCCATATTAGAAACATTCTCTCTTTAACAATAGACCACTATGTAGTAACTCCTCCAAACTCTTCTTAATCCAAAAATCAACATGGCAGCAGAATGGTTCTGGCCAATGAGATTTCTGAATAGTAAACAGATGTTTAATGAATCTTGTACTGTAATACATTTCACTCCTGGCTGCCATAGCAATTGTGTCCCTACTTTATGGTAACAGTACTCTAGTACTATCATCAAAAATAATAGTGTTGTTAAAAACTCCCACCCAAAAGAGGTACAGAGTATAGATGAAGTCTGGCTAGGTCCACCTTAGGGGAGATTTTGGGAAGGGAGTTGTATGACAAAGATGTCATAAAGGAGAAGAAAATATTTCTAGATAAATAGAACAATTTGGTTCAACAGAGTGAAAATTTCTGGATACTGCTCAAGATAGAATAAGAATGAATTAACTAAGTGCATAAGAACATTGTACCACAGGCATTGCTGGATGAAAGGAAATCCCAGAAATCAGTGAGTCCGAAATAGGTAAAAGATAACGCTAACATCCAGATCTTCTAAACCTGAGATCAATATAATATAGGTAGCCTATTGTTTGCACTACTTTCCATGGTCTTAGTATTGCCATAGGGGGTGGGCCATTGGAAAGGAAGGGAGACAGAAAAGGAAGTGGACAAGCTTTCAACAGGTACATCACAATATAATAAGGTCACTTAAAAAATAAAAATTAAAAAATTAAATAGGGTGGTGTGTGATTATATCAAAAGATCTTTTCAATATATTAAACCTGAAAAATAAAAGATACTGAAACACAAAGAATTTTTTTTTTTTTTTTAAGACTTGGGAAATCAAATTCAGGGCCTTGTGGATGTTAAATATGTACTCTACCCTTGTGGTATACACACAGACCAAGAAGCCTTAATAATAAAAAGACAAATACTCAATTTAAAAATAAGCAGAGAACATCTCTTAGAAAGATATACATGACTAAGGATATAACCTGGTGGCAGAGCACTTGCCTAGCATGTGTGAGGCACTGGGTTGGATCTTCAACACCACATAAAAATAAATAAAGATATTGTGTTTATCTACAAATGAATAAAAATAAATAAAGCCATGCTGTTCATCTGTAACTACAATAAATAAATAAATAAATAAATAAGATTTTAAAAATGGGAGGGGTATACACAGAAGACACGTGGCAAAAAATTCGATAGTGCACCCAAAGTCCCCAGTTCCTGTTTTGAATCTACAAGTTCGGTTATTTTGTGTCCAGCCAGCCTGCGGCACTAGAGATTGAACCTGGGGGCCCTTAACTACTGAATCACATCCCCACCCCTTTTCAAAATTTTTATTCAGAGACAGGGTCTTGCTAAGTTACTTAGGGTCTTGATAAGTTGCTGAGACTGGCTTTGAATTCCTGATCTTTCTGCTCAGCCCCCACAGGCTGCTAGGATTTCAGGCATGGGCCACTGCCCATTAAGCTTTGGGTGCAATATAGAATTTTTTGCCACGTGTCTTCTGTGTATATACCTCCCATTTTTAAAAATCTTATTTATTTATTTATTTATTATAGTTACAGATGAACAGCATGGCTTTATTTATTCATTTGTAGATAAACACATCTCTTAGACACAATATCTTTATTCTATTTATTTATTTTTATGTAGTATTGAAGATCAAACCCAGTGCCTCACCCGTGCTAGGCAAGTACTCTGCCACCGAGTTATATCCTTAGTCATGTATATCTTTCTAAGAGACGTTTGAGTATTCATACACACACAGGTATACACACACACACACCAAAAAAAGAAAAAACCTGATTAGGCAAATACAACAAAATGATACCAATTACCGAAACCAGTTGGCAGATTTATTTTATAGCTCATGTGATATTTTGTATTTAAAAACAAAGTTAAAATAATTTTAACAAATCATCCCTTTGAAATACTAATATGATTTCTGTGTCAAAGCAATTTTATAGTTTGTAAATGAAAAATAAAATTTACCTCTTTGAATTTCTACTTCTTCCCCCTTTAAAACACAAAAACCGGGAACTTTCTGATGAGCATGAAACCTGTTGGTCCGTAAAACCTTCTCAAGATTTGGCTTTGGCTTGACAAATCTACTTCTCATTCTCAAATTATTGGTCACTTTAGAAGTTGTATTCCTAAAATGTACAAAGATAATAGAAATTTATGAATTACTAAAGAATTTTCTTACTCTCTCACACTGATTGCAGTTAACGCAATACCTTTCAGGTATCATGGTATATTTAAGTGTTCATTTCTTAATTCTAAAATTACTAATCTAATTACTACATTTACTGGAGGTCTTGAGAAGAAAACCTGTAGAACATATCTGTAGAACAGAGAATACATTTACATAAATCTTTTAAATTAAATCTTCAAAGACAGATAACACTGTTATAACTTTAATAAGTAAATCATTAAACTCTAGATCAACCAATTTGTAATTTAATTGGTGAGAAATTAACATTGTTACAAGCATTACTCAAATCTATTAACTAAATTTATGATGGCTTTAATAACATTTAATAATTGAATATAAAATAAACCTGGTCAATGTAGCATTCTTCTTGACTTCTTCCATTAAACCAACTTCTTCTCTAGTACTTTGTTCCTCCAGTACAATCTTGTTTTCTTCAAATGATGCAGGAGATGTACTAATGACAGGTGAAAAAACCTCCTGATATTCATGAACAATTTTGTGATTTACATTATCTGGGATAAAAGGAATATGACTTTTATCCTTTGAATGAACATCAGGAAACACACATACTCCTACTGCAGGAAAAAAATAGGAAATTAAAACTGACCCAGTATAAATAGATATCCAAGTGAAAATTAATTCTTCAACAATTAATAATTATACAATTCTACGTTATTATTAAAGATTGCTCTTTTTGGATCCAAACTTAAATTCATGATCTCATATTTCATTTTGGGGATTTGATCTGTAATGAGCTTAATAATTCTTATGACTAAAATTTTGTGCTACTGAAAGTAATGCATCCCCCCGCCTTTTTTATAAAATTAATGGCCTATATACTTGAAATTATTATTTTTTAATTTTTCTTTTTTAGTTGTAGTTATAGACTCAATACCTTTATTTTATTTATTTATTTTTATGTGATGCCGAGGATTGAACCCAGCGCCTCACACGTGCTAGACAAGAGCTCTACCACTGAGCCACAATCCCACCCCTGGTTTTTTAATTACTTCCAATGATTGCATAATGCCGAATGGATTTCAAGACAGGACTGCCTTCATTTATTAGCTTTTAAGATCTATATTTTATGTCTTCAAGATTTGTGACAAGCGTTACTATAATACTCTGTCATTGAGAATGAAGCTCTATAATATAGGGAAAACAAATAATACTTTCTTAATAAATATAGTGTAACAAGCATAAACATCTAACAACTAAAATGAATGGCAGATAAGTCATTAACAAAGTAATTACCAGAAACACAATTAGCATGATTTTTCACTTAATGTAGTTAAAGATAATCAATGGCAAAGACCATAACTTGTAAGTCCAGCTCAATATATTAAAAAAATCTAGATTGGCATTGTCTTTTGGCTTCTGTCCAAACTATCACAGGGCTGGAGATGTGGCTCAAGCAGTAGTGCGCTCGCCTGGCATGCGTGTGGCCCTGGTTCGATCCTTAGCACCACATACAAACAAAGATGTTGTGTCCGCCAAATACTAAAAAATAAATATTAAAAGATTCTCTCTCTCTCTCTCTAAAAAACAAAACAAAAAAAAACAAACAAAAACTATCACAACAATTTAAATTCTCTCAATGATTGTGAAAATCTTTTCAAGCAGCAAATCCTTTGCTAACGAGTATAAAGTGACAAAATAACCTCAATTAACCAATGATGCTTATGATGATAAACATAAGCCATTAGAGCAACTATTCAATGAATCCAAATTATTCTTTTCTTTTTGGTACCAAGGATTGAACCTAGCTAGGGATGCTTAACCACTAAGCCACATCCCTAGCCCTTTTAATTTTTTGAGACAAGGTCTCGATAAATTGCTTAAGGTCTCACTAAGTTGTTGAGGCTGGCCTTGAACTTTTGATCCTTTTAGCCTCCCAAGTTGCTGGGATTATAGGCCTGTATCACCACACCCAGCTTCAAATTATTCTTAATAAACTAAATGCACTATCTCAAAATGGTTTTCACCACGCCTTAACGGGCTGACAGTGGATGAGGACAGGCACAGTGGTAGAGAGGCTGAGGCAGGAAGATCTCAAGTTTGAGGGCAGATTCCGCAATTAAGCAAAGCCCCAAGCAACTTAGCGTTACCTTGTCTCAAAATAAAAAATAGAAAAGCTTGGGTATGTGGCTCACTGGTAATGTGCCCCTGGGTTCAATTTCCAGTACAAGCTAAAAAGAAAAGATAGCAAGAGGGGGAGGATGGATCAACACATAAGTATTACCATTTCTAGAAAACAACAGTGATGACAATTTCAAATGAAAAAGGCTTATTTATTCAAAACATAGGTATAATTTCTTAACAGATTTTAAGTTTTTTTTTCTCATTGGTAGGACTTAGCTTTCACTCTTACCATCACCCTGTTCAGTGCTGATCTCTGACTGCAATACTAGATCTCCCATTGTTAGTAAAGTTATGGCAGCTTCAGTACTTCCATCATTGGTGCCTTGTGAGGAAATATAGCAAAATTAAAACAGAAAAACAAATCTGGCAATTAATTTACTTTAAAAAGATTGTTAGCTCTGTTGTTTATTTTCTAACAATGGGTTTCTTTTTTTCTGTTTATTTTAATTTTTTTAACTGGTTATTCAAAACACTACAAAAATTGCAGAATCACATCGGTTACACGTCCACATTTTTACATAATGCCCTAATAGTAACTGTTGTATTCTGCTACCTTTCCTATCCTCTACTATCCCCCCTCCCCTCTTC